TTACTATGAAACCTTCGCTTGTACATTCACTTACATGAGATCCTAACAAAACTGAAGAAGCATCAGTGAAAGCCAAGTGACAGTGTTTACATAGATGGTGGTTACTTATGATCCAGAATGTTTATCTTTGTTCTTAGGTTATCTTCTACATGAAATATTCTTAAAATTCTTACAGACAGCTCTTAAAATCCCCTTTTACTCCCTATATATTTGTTACCTCCTGTTTGCTGCAAAAAGGGCAAGGAGGCCACATGTTCTGACCATCTCTAATCCCACAAGAGGAAGACAGAATCACCATCAATAGCCCAAGGTCTATTCCTGCGAGGCCAGACATGCTGCCTCCCTCCAGCCCTTTCTCCAGCCGTTCCTCCCAAAGCACCCGCCACCTCCTGGGTTCGATAATTCACTGCAGTGGCCACACACAACTCACAGATTATGGGGTTTATTAGGGAAGCACCAGGCTATATACAATTCAAGTTCAGGAAAAAATGTTCAGTCTCTCTCTCAGCCCACCGTCTCTCAGCCAAGTCTCTCACAGTCTCTCCCCCAGCAGTGCATATCCCTCGGTGTCTTACTCAGCAATACGTGTCTCTTGCGTCTCTTTCCCAGTAGCATGTGTCTCTTTCAGGAGCGTGTGTCTCTTTCAGCAGCACGTCTTCCTCAACCAGCAGTCAGGGAGAGTTCTACCTCTAGGAGGCCTTCTTTTGAGCCTGGCAGAGTGGCCAAACTAGCCAATCATAGCATCAGAACTCTAAGCACCTGAGAGAGAGTGGGAACCTCCCAGAACATTGTTTTGTGCCACTCCCAACAGAAATACTCCAGGTGGACAACTTTAACAATCAGGAGCTCCTCAGTTGCTCATAGCAAATCCCACCTTGGAGTTTACAAAGACTTATGGGTAGAAAAGCCACAGTAAGTAATTTACTATACTGCAGTTGCTTTAGCAAATATTTTTCTCATCACTTTCTAGAAGGCCAGGATTCAAAAATGGAAAGAACAACACAAAATAAAAAACCTGGGCCATCATAGCCTAAGAGACACTCTAACAGTAAACTAGAAATAGTCTGATTTGTGGTATACCAATGGTATGCTTATGCAAAGGCATTCTCTACTGTGTGGATCATAACAAATAATTTGCAAAGAATGGGAATTCCAGAACACTTAATTGTGTTCATGAGGAACCTCTACATACACCAAGAGGCAGTCGTTTGAACAGAACAAGGGGAGACTGCATGGTTTAAAATCAAGAAAGATGTGCAATCAGGGCTGTATGCTTTGACCATACTTATTCAGGCTGTATGCTGAGCAAATAATCTGAGAAGCTAGACTGTCTGAAGAAGAATGCAGTACTAGGATTAGAGGGAGACTCATCAACAACCTGAGATGTGCAGATAACACAACCTTGCTTTCTGAAAGTGAAGAAAACTTGAAGCACTCACTGATGAAGATCAAAGACTACAGCCTTCACTATGGATTCTACCTCAACATAAAACAAAAATCCTTAAACTGGACCAATAAGCAACATCATGGTAAATGGAGAAAGATTAAAGTTGTTAGGGATTTCATATCACTTGGATGCACAATCAGTGCCCATGGAAGCAGCAGTCAGGAAACCACACCATGTGTTGCATTGGACAAATCCGCTGCAAAAGACCTCTTGAAAGTGTTATGGAGCCTAGATGTCACAGGGTGTGTCTGACCCAAGCCATGATACTCTCAGTTACCTCACATGCATGTGAAAATGAGACAATGAATAAGGAAGACTGAAGAAGAATTGATGCCTTTGAATCATGGTGTTGGCAAAAAATATTGAAAATACCATGGATTGCCAAAAGAATGAACAGATCTGTCTTGGAAGAAGTGCAGCCAGAATGCTCCTTGGAATTAAGATTGGCTAAACTTCGTTTCTTGTACTTTGGTCATTTTATCAGAAGGGACCAGTCTCTGAAGAAGGACATCATGTTTGGTCAAGTAGAAGTCAGAGAAAAAGGGGAAGGCCCTCAGTGCGATGGATTGACATAGTAGCTGCAATAATGAGCTCAAACATAGCAAGGATTGTGAGGATGGCACAAGACCAGCCAGGGTTTATTTGGTTCTGTTGTACATGGGGGTCACTGTTTGTCAGAGCTGACTTGATGGCACTTGACACAACAACAGAGATATATGCCTTATCAGTCATAGGGCTATGTACACATACCAAAAGGGCCTGCTAGTTGTCTTCCAAACCAGAAAACCAAACTCACTGCCATCGAGTTCATTCTGACTCCTAGCAACCCCTTTTGGTTTTCTGAGGTGGTAAATCTTTATGGAAGTAGATGGCCCAGTCTTCTTTCTGCAGAGTGACTGTTGGGTTTGAACTACCAGCCTTCTGGTTAGCAGTCAGATACCTTAGGCACACTACACCACCAGAGCTCCTTACCAGTTGTCTTAGTGTAGAGGAAAAGTTTGGAAAGGATCTTATTTGAATTTGGTCTCCTTAAACCATGCAAGGGAGACAACAGAGAGTGGGTTTAAAAGAAAGCAGACCAAGCAGAGAGAGAATAGTATATATAAAGACAAAGAGATATGACAGACATGATTATGAGAATGGTGAGAAGCATGTGGCCCTGGAGTAGCGTGTATTCATGGTAATGTTTATTGTATGTAACAGTTACCACATTGTACTGTAAAGTTCTCCTTCACTAGTCATTGGAGTTCTGCAAGGGCCATAGCCATGTATTGGTAATCTTTGAATCCTCAGCTTTGGTAGAGTTAATGATTGGAAAACATTGGTTGAATGACTGACTAGTTAGGAGTAATGAAGAATTGAGAGAATGATGAAGTCTCTTGTGGTGGTGGTTTTATTCTTCTGTGGTCATAGACCCCGTTGTAGTTCTGTTGAGAGCTACAGACCTTCTCCCTGAAAGTGCGTATGTATAACGTTTGGCCTGCAGTTTCATGGTATTCACATGCTCCTGAAGTCACTCCATGAATTCCTCATTGATAATCCCTCCTTTGGAAATTATACCTAAGGAATGCATAATTGGCACCAGACCTCACCTCGGACAACTACTGGCTCTGTTACTACGTCTTTAAATGTTAGGTTATGATTGGGTCTCTCTCTCGTACTTTTTCTTTGTGCTCAGGAAGGATCAAGTCAGGTATCTGAACTATCTCTGAAGAAAGAGAAAGAAAAATGATAATGATTAAGGTAAAACTTTGCTGGTCTGTAAAGATAATAGATAAGTTTGTTAATGAAACCAAGCAAGAAACAGCTACTATAGAAGAACCTGGCATTTCTGAGTTTGGGTTTAGCGAGTCAGGGACCACACTCCGACTTGATGATTTGCAAGAAGGATTCACAGAACTCAGAAAAGCTGTTATATTCATAGTTTATGGTTAAATACAGTGAAGGATACAGATTTAAAATCAATGGGAAGAGGTGCATGAGGTGAAGTCCACGAGGTACCAGACACAGCTTCCAGGTACCCTACCAGTGAAGGGGCGTGGGTGTACTCAGCTCTCTCCATGTTACCAACCAGGGAAGCCCACCCGAGCCATGATGTCCAGGGTTTTTATTGGGTGTCCGTCCCTTAGGCACGTAGTGCCTGTATAACTGACCTCAGCTGCTTAGACTCCAGTGCCCGCAAGAGCAAAAACAGGCGATCACCATCACGTTGTAAGCATAAGCTGTCTGAACAGACTGGTACTGAGTGACCCAAGGCTTCAGTTGCACAAAGCACTCCTATCAGGCAGAATACTTAAAGGGTTCAAGGATGTCTTGAAGTTGAGCTGGGTTTGAGCTGCTGAGTTCACCCTTTCTTGCGCAAGCAGCTGCTCAGGGAGTTGACTTTCTTTTGGCCTGTCTGCCTGGCGGCTGCTTTTCTAGGTCCAGTGGACCTTCCTGGTCTTAACCATCGACTTCTTTGAATGCTTCTCTATACCAGATACAGTGCTAGATGGTGGTGGATTTACATAGATGATTAGCATGAGTCTCTTGCCTTAAATGTCACAGGAGAGAGAAAAACAAAAATCACAATGCTTGTGCTATTGATTAAACAGTGTGTGCTTGCAAATGGATAATGGACTTGGCTGCTAACTGAAAAGTTGGAGGTTCAGTTTCATATAGGAAAAAAATAGTCTTAGGACTGATGCATGTTAAATCTGTTTCTGTGCTACTAGAAGCTGTTAGTTGTTTTTTTTTACCCTTATTTTCTTCCCCGGCCTTCGTTGGGCCCCTTTTTTTTTTTTGGGGGGCTTGTTGGGGTTTTTTGTAGGAGAAGGTGGTGGTGGTAATTGGCATGACTTACCTAAGTGCTCACTCTTAGAGCTGAGCCATAAAGATTGAGTAGATAGAAGGGACAGGGAGCTGATGTTCACCCAGTCATCTCTAGCCCGATTGTGTATGTGGTTGGAATATATGCGTCTGATTATTGGAATATGGAGGTCTGCCTATAATATGGAGGTCCCCCTACCTGCACTGTGAGAAGAGCCTGATCTCAGCTAGAAGGTACGCATCTTTGTCAGGGTGTCCACAGGGGAAGTGGCTCTCCCATTACTCCATCACCGTGAAGCCATCCAAGTGACATTACCTAAGGACCGTTGGTTCATAGTGGTGGTGTCACACATTCTTCCTTCATGGGGAGTACATTAGTGCATAGTTTGGGGCTGATAAGAACAAGTATAACCATTAAAAATGTACTTTGTTTCAAATGGGAGGGCAAATGCTTGCCTTGCCTTGCTGAATACACTTGTAACGGACACAAAGTTTTCTATACTTGGAAGCAAAAACATTTGTACAGAAAAAAATGTGGGTCCAAATTTGGTCATATTTCTTTAGGCTTCTGCTTGTGGTTCCCAGCAGAAGTCAGAGTTTCTGAGAGGTGTGAGGAGTTTTGTGTTTGGAGTAGGGCACAGACATGGTGATTATAATAGGGTCTGGAATGCCTTATTGCACTGGATACTGGATAATTTCAAACTTTTAACCTTGAAATCTTTTTTCTAACAGAGCTTGTTCTCTTCTTCCAGCTTTACAGTGTTTCTGCCACCTCTGTACAAAAGACAATTTCACGTGTGTGACAGATGGGCTGTGCTTTGTCTCTGTCACAGAGACCACAGACAAGGTTATACACAATAGCATGTGTATAGCAGAAATCGACCTAATTCCTCGAGACAGACCGTTTGTATGCGCACCCTCTTCAAAAACTGGGTCTCCTACTACAACGTATTGTTGCAAGCAGGACCACTGCAATAAAATAGAACTCCCAACTACTGGTAAGTGGTTGTGTAAGACATTTTCCCCTGATCCTTTAGAACAGCTCTGAGACTCTGACTATAATTTTAGGGCTAGAAGGGATCTTAGAAATCATCTAGCCCAGTGTGTTGAGTTTAGAGACAAGAAGTGGCTTGCTCGTGTTTGAGAGTTACGACAGTGGCCAAGATCCTGACTCCGCGGCATATATTGTTTGAGAAGGATGGTTCCAGGGTAGACTTTCTCTGAGGTCTGCTTTACCTGAAAAGTCAGTCTCTCAAAAGAGGATCATGACAAAGCCCACAGCAGAATTATGTCCTCAGAATGTCCTCACTTTTCCTCAGAGTGAGTTTCTTCTTCCTTGTATAGTGCTCTCCTGCCTTCTAAAGCCGTCTACAATTTTTTAATGGGTGAAGATTAAGAACAGCACTAAATGGTTCAAATGACTTCATTTTGTAAATGCATCTTGCTTTATTATTCATAGGTGCAAATTATTATGTAAGATTTTTAGATTTTTGGTCTTTTACTCATAGTTTAGGAACTCTGGTGGTGCAGGGGTTAAATGCTTGACTGCTGTGGTAGTTAAGGTTGTGGGTCAACTTGGCTGGGCCATGGTTTTGAGTGGCTGGGAAGCTGGATGTAGTTGTTCCCCTTGGTGAGATTGTAATCACTCCCATGGAATCCGCTGTGAGTAGCTGAGGTAGCTGCCTTTGGGGTGTGGGCTGCTTCCAGTAAAGTTTTGAGAAAGGTCTCCAGCTCCTTGCCATATTTTGGATCCTGCATTTGGCTGAGTCTTCGTCTCGAGTTCCTGGTCTTGACCCAGGGGCCTGCCGTGTTGCCTGCTGATTTTAAGATTGTGTCATTTTATACTTGTTGGTGTGGTTTTATTGGCCTTAGCAGCCAGCAGTTGCATGAGTCAGAAAAAGCCTCCAGCCTTAGTGGGCCTGGAATAAGAGGCAGCGCTAAAGCGCCTAGAGCTGGCACTTTGAACTCAGACTTCTAAACTGTAAGAGGAGTGCTGGTGGCACAGTGCCTAGCCCACCGGTCACTCTGTGGAAGGAAGATGGGGTAATCCACTTCCATTAAGATTAGGTTTGGTTTGGTTTTTTTCAAACTGTAAGAGAAGAAATTTTGTTAAAGCCATCTGCATGTGGTGTTTCTGTTATAGCAGCACTGGGCCCCAAAACAGCTATTAACCAAATAGTCGGCAGTTCAAACCCACCAAGTGCTTTGCGGGAGAAGGACGTGGTAGTCTGCTTCCATGAAGATTGTTGTGGTTGTTGTTATGTGCTGTTGAGTTGGACCCAACTTATAGCAACCCGTCCTTGGGTTTCTGAGGCAGTATCACTAGGGAAGTAGATTGCCCAACCTGCTTCAGACACCCCATGGGGCAGATTTACCCTGCCCTATAGGGTTGCTGTAATTAACTCTACGGCAGTGGGTTTTAACAAAGTACCCATAAGAATTTGAAAGCTTCATAAAGTCAGGATTGGATTAATTTAAGTTTTAAGATGTCATTCTGAGCCCATGTGTTGAACTCTTCTATTTCCCTGAAGTCTCCAGTTCTTACTGTAATAACCAGAGCAGTACCAAAATGGGGAATACTCATGAATTCTAGGAGAATGGATGAATGCTACTCACATGCTGATACTTTTGAGGAACTTCTGTAGTTTATAGTACAGGTGACACCATATGAGAAGAAGTGAAAAAACCTCACAAAATCTCACCAGTATCTTAAGCTGAGGGGCTAAGGTTAGGCCATAGGAGTGAGTGCGAGTCTTCTTTGAAAAGCACCTGGTTTCACTGCCCAGAGGGGCAGATCATGTGTTTACTTTCTACTCAGAGGTGGACCAGGCATCATGCTAAGTAGGGGATTAGACACTACTGTAGCTCTGAGGGAACCAGCCAGTCCTGCCACTTACAGAGGGAGGCATCCTTGGCCCAGTTCAGTGGTCATAGTCCAGTAAGACTACATCTTCAGCAGGATGAGGAGAGGGTTCCTACGGCCAGTCCCTGCCATACTGTAATTGCTTCCTTTATGTAGGCATCTGCAGCTCTAATATGGCAAAGAAAATACTAATTCTAAAAAAAAAACCTCACTGCCATCAAGTCAGACCCAACTCATAGTGACCCCTCCTTGGGTTTCCGAGGCAGTATCACTGCGGACGTAGATTGCCCAACCTTCCTTCTGAGGAGTGGCTGGTGGGTTTGAACCACCAGCCTTCTGGTTACCAGTCAAATGCCTTAGGCACTGCGCCACCAGAGCTAGAACTTCCTATTTCTGTCCTTTGGGTTTGAAAGATCTGAACGGAAACTCACAAAGCTTGTGAAGAACTCCCCTCATTTCTAATGCTAAAAAAACAAACAAACACCTCATTCTCAGCTCCAAGATAAGCAAAGGGCAAAAAATAACCAAATGAAAAGATGCACTGGCTGAACTGGATAAATCAGAGTAGATGCCATCTCATGCAACTGGCTGTTTGTTCCCTATGACAGGGAAGAACTTTCAGACAATGCAAGGCCTGTTTTCAGTTGTTCCCTGTGAAGTGAGAAATTCCACTGTTGTTAAATTCACCCAGATGAAAAATGCCACTGATGGATATATTTTAAATGCTATATTGATAGTGAACAGCACACTGGACACAGTAATTTTACAGACAGTTGGGTTACAATTCAGAGAAAAAGATGGTCAGTGAGCAGAGAGAGAGAAAGGACAGAGCTTGGTGATTTATTGTAAGAAGTCCAGAGAAACACATGAGCTGTCAGGAGGGAGAAGAGTACCAGGCAAAATTAACAAAAAAGACTTACCAATATATATATGCTAAAGAAATGTATCAATTTTAAGAATGAAGGAAAAAAGCCCAAGAAAATAGTGGTTACCTATAAAAGGTAAAAAGAAGTTGAGATTTTCTGCTTTGTTTAATGCCAGGAGACAATGAATTGCCACCCAGAATTCTTTGAATAAGCCAAACTTATTTTCATATACAAAGGCAGTGGACATATTTAGATGTTAACCATTCAGTATGGAAGGACCTGTGTACTCTTCCTGCGAGAAAGCACTACAAATAGGATTTTATATAATAAGAAATCAGAGCAGATAAAGAGCTTAGGAGTGAGAAAGATGAGATATGAAAGCAGTGGTGGCAGGCAGTGAACTAGCAGGGCTCAGGATGGTGCCAGAATAAGTGGAATGCATGTGTTTTGGAAATAAGGCAAGTATTAATTATTAAGAGATTATTGATAAGAAAATTACTTAGAAGTAAAAGTCCAAGTAGCTAAATAGACTAGAAAATATATACATGCTAACAAAAAAAAAAGTGGGGGTATGTAAAGGTTATACCAAGTAAAAGGGTAAATATATACTAAACTGAATTGTTTTGGGATAGTCAGACCGTAGGTAGTTTTTCTTTTTACTTTTTGCTTATTTGTGTGTGTGTGTGTGT